ATTTACTCAGAAAAATTATTTCTTTCTATATTTGCCATTCTGAACTTCGAAAAGATGTTTTATACCAGCATAGAATTTTTCTCTAGAGCTTGGTCTTATATCGTTTTCATGACAATATTTTCTATATTCTTCATATAAAGCCTTTTTTTCATACATTTCATAAGGACAATCTAACCAGAATAGCGCATATCCATTTTCGTTATCTAGGTCTCTATATGTTTCTTCTGTTTGTAGAATTTCGCTTTCTCTATTTAGTTCTATGTCTATATATTGTGGCTTAAAAAGATGTGGGCAAGAAGGGTTTGGCGCTATGTAAAAAGTTAATTTTTCTGTCATCTTTTCTTCAGAATAAAAAAATATTTTTTTTAAAATTTACTCAGAAAAATTTTTCTTTGTATATACACCATTCTGAACATCTAAAAGATTTTTGACATTTGCCAAGAATGTACGTTTAGAAGCTGCCATATAACCATATTCTTGACAATATTGTTTATACGAGTCGTACAATGACCTTTCATCTAAACACTCAAAGTTAGTCTCATCTATAAACAGTTCATATACACTCTTGTTTGCTTCTAACAATGTTTGTCTCTCTTCGGTATGTGGAATTTGTCTTGGATTGAACTTAGAAATATCTAATGTCATGAAATATGAGAACAAGTGGTTGTAAAAGTTAGGTGTCAAAGTTTCTGCTAAGTCGTCAAAATATTCTGTATCTTGCATATGAGAATCTGACGTTCTGACAACTACATATCTTCTGTCAGAACTTTCTAACTTCATCGGAACAACATTGTTTGAAACCATAATGAAGTTTGCAACATTTTCACAAACTCTTTGGTCTTTATACTTTCTTTCAACAACTCCAACTTTGTCTGTTATAAGACTCTTCAAAGCATCTGAGTTCAAAACTTTTGTTGTATCTATACTTTGAAGTTCATTGCAAACTATAAGTTTCATATTCTCTATTGAAGAGTTAAATTTACCGCAGATGTTTTCTAAGTTTGTCATATTCGGGTTCGAATAACCTTCTAACAGTTTGCACAAAATATCTGTAAAGAATGTGTTCTTACCTGTTCCTTGTTTTCCAATTATAATGAGAGCAGTTTCATTTTTAGCACTTGGATGTTGTAAGATGTTTGCAAACCAACATAAGATATACTCATAGACTCTTTCGTTTCCATTGCATATAATTTCTTTGACATGGTCTAACCAAGCTTCTATAATATTTTCTTTCCATTCTACTTGTTCGTATTTATATCCAGTGAAGATAGAATAGAAGTTTGGAGAAGGTGTATAGAACTTTATACCTCGAACTGAAAAATCTTCTAACTTTGACAATAAGATATCCCAAGCATCTAACATCTTCATGCCAACTTGTACAACTTTTATTTTCTTAAGTTTCTGTCTACATTCTTGTTCTGAAATATTGTTGCTCTTGGTTTGTTAAAGACAACATCCCATTCTTTCATAACATAACATTCTGGGGCAGAGTCGACATAAATGACTAAACGTTTCAAATTCTCGACTGCTTTGTTATAGTCTCGAAATGGACACATATTTCTGAAGGCTTGGAAGTCATAAAAATCTGAAACATCTATTCTGTACATTTTTATAAAAATAAAAAAAATATTTTTTTTTATTCTTGAGCTATTTGTTGCATTTGTTCCATTTGTTGCATTTGTTGTTCTTGAGCTATTTGTTGTTGAAGTTGTTCTTGTAATACAATACTTTCACCAGTTGCATCTTCCAATTCGAAACTTTCTGCCGTCATTGACAAATACATAGGACATAAAAGTTTTACAGGAACAAAGTTTGCGTCAACTAAGGTTAAGTTTATGTTTGCTAAAGTGTTTGAGTTTACTAAAGCTGAAAACTCTGCATTCGAATGAACAATAGGCAAACCAGCAGAGAATGTGTTGTTTATACGCATAAGTATCTTTTGGTCATAATAGTTTCTGTCGACATTCGAATAACACTTTGAACCTAAGTTTGAAACAATATATAAGATTGGTGTGCTTAATGTCAATGGAATAGACATTCCTTGTATGACACCTTTTCCTGTTATAGGAAACTGTTGGTAGTAAAAACCAGATATAAGTTTTGTATTATAGCTCATATTGTTTATAGTAAACTCAGTCGGACATCCAAACATAATGAAACCTGCTCTAGTTGCAGCACATGTTACACCCGTCCTTAAAGTATTAAATAAGTCAACAAAACCTGTTGGTGGTATATCTGAGTAAGTATCTTCAAAGGAGTATTTTTTACCATTCACAACAATAAAATCTTCTGGTGTCAAAAGAGCAAAACAAGCTTTAGTCGTCATTGTGTTTAAGGTTAGTTTACAATATCGTCCTTGAGGACTTTGTAAGTTTGTTGTTATAGAATTATATGACTCAGGGTTTTTAGTCGTAATAGTATAAACCATTATGTCTTCTGCCATTTACTTAGCAAATAAATTTTAATGAAATGTTGTGGTCGTCAAATATTTTTATAACGTCTGGGAAACTATATTTTAAGTTCAACGTTTCACCTCCTTTCATAACGTATATCTTGTCAATGACATTATATGAAACACCACAGCAACTAACGTCGGGTTCTATTTCTTTGATGTTTATATCGTCTGCCTCTGTCAAAAGTTTCAATAGTTCTTTCAAAACTTCATGAGGTGCGATGACATATGAGTTCACTTTTACAGGGTTGTGTTCGACCAAGTTTAACATTATACCTAAAGCTTGACAAATCTTCTCCTGAGTTTTAAGTTTGTCTTTCAGTTGCATGTAGTCATTTCGAATATCTGCAACAGAACTTAAGTCTCTGCTAACTTCAGGATATGTTGGTTGTTCTTTTACAGGAACTATTGTTATACCATCTTCGTCTTCGTATGGTTTCCCCACTTCAACATCTCTTTCTTTGACATTGACAACAACATTTTGACTGTTTGTTTGAGTTGGTGAATTTAACTTCACATCTGCCACCGCCATTAAACCTTTTGAAACACTTACGCTTCTATTTTTCGGAAATGACATTTTACTTAGAATAAAAAGATGGACGTATTTGAGTATCTCTTCGAATTGAAGCAAAACAAGGTTTATACTCACAAACAATACAAATACATTGACAGAATAGTTCTTTACACAAACAATGGAAAATGTTATAGAATAGCAGTCTTTGCTGAACCTAAATATTTTCATAAAGCAAAGAAAGTTGGTATAACTGAAATGGTGAAAGTTCTTGACGTTGACAAAAATATAACAACAAAACTTACAGATATTTCTAAAGGTAAGTTTATAATACAATTTTATGTCAAAACAGGTGTCATAACTATTTACGATGGAGAGAAGTCAGTTCAAGAACAACTTACTGACCTGCTGCCAAAATCTGCTCGATGGAAGCTGTCGTTATGCCAATCTGAGGAGCCCCAGCAGGTTTCATCGAACGAATCTTCAAAAGAGCATCTTCCGTGAAAAGTGCTATTGGTTTTGTAAACTTCTTTGCTCTCAGTTCATATGGACCGTCTCTGTCACCAGTATATTGTATTTGTACAGTACCAACAGTTGAAATACCACCCATAAAGTCTTCTGAGTCAGCAAATGGAATGCCAAGCCAAAAGTTTGAACGGTCTCCATTTGTATATTGAGTTTTTTGACCTCCTGTATGAGTCCATACTTTCACATATGGCATAATAGAACTTTGCATTTCAGGGTTAATGGTTGTTGTGAAGTTGTTGTTAAAGTTCATAGCATCTAATGTCAAGTTGTATGACCTCATATCCTCAACTGTAGAATATTCTTCTCTTGGATAATATTTGCCATCTATGTTTATATGATATTTAATACCAGGGTTGTAGAAACAAGAATAGTCATTTATAGTTCGTCTGAACAGTACAAACATAGTATCTGCGTGTTTCATTGCAGTTGTTAAAGCAATATCTGTTCTTGCACCTGCGGTTCCTGGATTTTGGTTTCCAACTTCACCTGCAAAGTCTTTGACAGATATTTGGTGTATAGGGAACATAAGTGGAACTGCAATATATTTGGCAGCTAAAGCATTTGAAATATCTGGGTCCAACATATAGACTGCAAGTCTGCTTTCTATTCTCTTGCATTCAAATTTTTCGCATGTGAACCTAACTGGGTCCCAAGCAGTTCCAGCAGCATTGAAATAATACTTTACTTCAGTGTTGAGGTTTGAGAAACCAAAGTCTAAGTCAACCTTATCTTTGCAAAAGTCACAGAACTTGGCTCCACCAGTTCCAGCTACAGTAAGAGTGAATGGGTCTTGTGTTGGTGCAATGACTAAGTTATTTTTGCTTGGAGTAAGTTCGATAGAAATTTTTCCTGCCCAGTTTGGCAAGTATCTTAAAAACCTGAAGATGAGGAAAGATGACAAAGGAACTCTAAGTTTCAGTTTTACTTTAGTGACAGCATTTCCATCTGAACCAGAAAGGTCAACATAAACTCCTGGAACGTTAGGGTCAAGTCTTCTTATTTTTTCAATAGTTGCATACTGGTCTGTTTGTTCTCTAGCTTGTGGTTGTACTGAGTTTCTCAAAGCGAACCATTCATAGTTTGCCCATGTTACTGTTTGAACTAAGTCAGAGTTAGAATATATCTTATATCCCATAAAAACTTCTGGAGCATATTGGTATCCGACATAGAAAATTCCATTGCAACCTTTCTTGTCAGACAACTTGGCAGAAGGTTTTATTTCAATGTCTTGTTCCACGTATAAGAATGAGTTGTCAATAGAAATTATATGAAACCTGTCGCAAGCAATATCTACTGTTGTTGAAGAACCTTCTCCAAACTCACCTACGTTTCCATAAGAAACAGCAGTTGTATATTCGTAAGTTCCAGGAACTATTTCTGACCTTCTAATGGCATTGTCGCATTCGTTATACCATTCGGAAACATTTCCATTCATGGCATCCAAAACTGTTGGCGTTATATTCTGAGCGGCGTACATTTCATATGGGTAAAAATATAGAATAGTTGGATTTATATGTCATAATAGAACCCACGTGGACCAAGCTTTACTTTCTTCCTGACTGAGTTTTTAACTCTTCTTTTTCCTTCATTGCCACTACTTTCACTTTGTTCTTCACTACTTTCACTTTGTTCTACTCTTCTCTTCTTCTTTGGTGTCGCTTTTGGTAACTTGCCCTCTGCTTCAAGTTGTTGCATCTTTGCCTCATGTTCACCTAGTATGTTGTAAATTTCCCATGTCCTTTTTGCCTTTGGGCTCTGGTCGCCCATCTCAGGTAACCTATATCCTAGAAAGAGTTTGTCATAGTTTGTATTTGAGTCTTCGCGTATTGTTTGTATGACTCTTTCCTGAGTTTCAGGTTCAAGCTCTTCAAACAGAGCTTGTCCATATGGAATAAGCTCGTTTCCAAATATATGTTTTTGTAGCCATTCTGGTTTTCTTTCCATGTTACCAATAATATCTTTTGTGAATGGGAAAGCTTTTACCCAACGTTTCAGTCTTGCGTCATTTATTTCTGTAGTTGGTTTTATTTTGTCAAGGAACATGTTTTTCAATACTAACATTTCATTTGGTACTGTCCATTTGAGTTTTCTTAAATATTCATCCCTTCTCGGTTCATTGTCTGCAAAGTAAGTTTTTATGACATTTTGCAAACTTTCGTTTGCAAGGTCATGTACAATAGGTTCTCTTCCTTCTGTCTCCCTAACTTTCTTTCTAAACTCTTCACCAAATATACCATCTCTATGGTTCTGTGTAGTTCTTTGAGATAAATGTTCTAGAACGTCAGGTGTTATATTTCCATCAGCCATGTTCATTTCATACTGGTTCAAAATATCTGCATCTTTCATATCTTTCAATGGCATTAAAGCCGCGCTGAAAATACCAGCTATATCTGGTTCACCATTCACTTCCATTGCGTCTACAACTTCTTGGAATTGTGGTTGTAAGTTTATGAACCACCTATCAGGATTAGCTTTATGACCCCATCTCATTGTAGTTCCATAGTCTGCAGAAACAAAAGTAGGTTTGTTTCCATCTTGGTTAGGTTCTGAATGAACTTTAAACAATGTTTCATTTCTATATGTTTTCTTGAAATTTAACCTTTTATTTTCACCGAGTTCATCCGAAGATTGAACGTTATATGCTCGTAAGTAAAAAGGGTTGTTGTATTTGTGTACATTTTCTTTCAGTACTTCCATTCTATGCTGAATATTTTCATCTGATGTTGGAGTCTTTTGTATGTCGGCGAACATTTTTCGATATTCTTCTACCATGTCAGCCGAATTTTTTTTAGACTCTTGGAAAGATTCCATATTCTCCGCATACTCTTGTTGAAGGTCAAGATTTTTCGGCTGTTCCAAATCTTCATCTAGTTCTGTGAGGTTAGTTTCCAAAGGAGGGACTTGTTCGTTTCCTTCAGGCTCTTCTAGCTGTTGTTGCTGAACTATTTCTTCCATGTCTGGTTGTATCTGAACTTCTTCCTGTTGAGTTTCTTGTACCTCATCTGCTGGCATTTCATATATTCCGAGACCGTTTTCAACAATTTCCCTATCTACGTCATCCGCATTCATAAGCCTTTGTTCTTTCGTTCCGTCTCTATTTTTTACGCGTTTCATGACGAAAGTTGAATTGTCATTTAGCTCTGACATCAAATATCTCGGAGTAAATTCGTTCATGTCATTTGGATGATATGCTATTAAATCATATCTCTTAGCGAGCTTGTATTTTCCAGGTTTGAAATTATATCCCATTTGGTGCTGAGTCATAAAGCTAAATAGGTTCGGGTCAGTATTTCCATCCTTGAACTTTCTAATAGCTTCTTTATATCTGTCACTAAAGTCAACAGTATCTGGGAAACCACACTCTTCCTTCAGCATTTTTAAGAATTCTTGGTTTCCTTGTTCTCTACTTCTTTTATGTCCTTGCTCTGTTGGTTGTTGTTGTGGTGCTGGATTTTGAACTGTTGGTTGTTGTTGTGGTGCTGGATTTTGAACTGTTGGTTGTTGTCCTTGCTCTGGTTGTTGTTGTGGTGCTGGATTTTGAACTGTTGGTTGTTGTGTTGGTTTTGGTGCATGCCTGTGTCTGTGTCCATGTGACGATGTAAATGTTTTAGGTAGTCCTGGTGCAGGTGCTTCTCTAGTTAGTATGGTTAACTTGGGTACTGTGGCACTGCGTTCCACCTTACCCAACTTAACCTTAAATATTTACAAAACCGTCTGACACATAAATGACTTCACTAATGACTTCACTAATGACTTCACTAATGACTTCACTAACGACTTCAGTAACATTTTCGCTAACGACTTCACTAATGAAAAATAAACGTTTTCACTAACGTTCCCACTAATGTTCTCATTTACAAAAGTATTGCAGCGCTTCCCATTGCTGTGCTTCACACAATAGTTCATATTCTTCAGTATCGCTGCTGTCACTCCAATCGTCAGAGTCAAAATCACTGTCAAAATAAATGTATGTAAGTTTTGACAAAGCTAATGAAACACGCTTACCGTTTGTATCTATTGCTTTTATATATCTCCCATTATGTTTGTTGTCGTAAACGCTCAAACTAACTTTACCCTTTCTCCCTCGTATCTGATAGAATGTATTTTCACGAGGAACGAAGAACAAATTCTTGAACTCATGACCGTTGTAGTTTGTTATCTCAATAGTTTTCGTCATTTACATAAAAATAAAATAAAAAATAAACTTAAAAATAAATGATATTACTACCTTCACGCGTATGAAAACATAGCACAAAAATAAATTTAGGTGAAGTGGTGAAATCTCACCTCTTTTTTCACCTGGTTTTTCACCCACTTGAATTCATTGCTTTATAACACAAACGACAACACTAACTTAACCTTAAATATTTACAAAACCGCCAACCACTAACGACTTCACTAACGAACTCACTAATGAAAAATAAACGTTGTCAGAGGTGAAAAAATATATTTAGGTGAAGTGGTTAGATCTAACCTCATTTCTAACCTCATTTCTAACCTAGCCGCTTTGCGGCTCTGACCCTTTGGGTCTGTTGAATTCATTGCTTTATAACTCTCTTCCTTGGTTTCTTTTTAGTTGCTTTCTTCACGTCTGTCTCCAACTTGACTGTCTTTCTTCTTCGTCCGTAATGATACCAGTTACTTCCACCAGTCAATGGGTCAAATGGTCTTTCGTAAGGGTTTCCATACATTCCATAGGGACCATACGGAAGAACTACTGGTGGAGAAGAAACATTTTCTTTAGTTCCATCGACTCTATTTAAATGCATTGTTTCACCTTTCATCTGGTCATTAAAGTCTTTTGCGTGTTTTGCAAACTCATCATCCTTTCCTAAAGCATTTTCTGACTCAGTCGCAACCAAATTGGATGCTTTATTTATGAGCCCTATTTTATTTAATCTTAACTTCTTTGCAACCCAGCCTCCAATCTTTCCTTTATTTGCATCTAATGTCTTTGAAACTCTTCCTCCACTCATTTTATTTACTGCGTCATAAGCTCCAAGTGCTTTTGCTCCAAATGCTAATGCTTTTGTTCCCATTGCGCCTAAAGCTGCCCAAGCTACCATTTACACCATATTAAAATCATCTCTCTTCAATATTATCTCATAAAAGTTCTCGTTACTGGAGAAAGTCAATGAAACATAAGCGTTCTCACGGGCTTCACCCTCACCGCTTTGCGGTCTATCTAACTTCTTTCTTATCTCATCTATTCTCAATAAAATGTCTGAACAATTGCTAACATCTTCTACAACAGTTATTTCATCATGAATGACCTTCAAGAACAAGCTCATTTAATATGCTATTAAAATCATCTCAATAATGAGTCCATCCTTTCCGTCTTTGGGTAGCACAACATCTTTCATTGAAGAAGGTTCGACAAGTCTTATGTTAAACTTACTGACAAAGTTTGTTATACTATAATGCTTCGGCGGCGAATACATGTAGTTTGAAAGACATAATATAGATTCTTCAGCAAATTCACTTATACTGGATTTTATAACAATGTTTTCACGAGACCAAATGCCACCAATTGAAAAACTTGTAAGCAATCCTGCTGAACCTTCTACTGTAAACGTCGATGGTAACATTCCACGAAGGTCATCTATTGACATCGTTGAGTCACTGTATTTAAATATTTTCTTAAAGCAATCGTCATTATCTAACCATGCAATAGCTTTGAAGTTTTCATTCGAATATACATCTGCTTCATTAAATGTAAAACCTGACTTCTTTGCAGAGACGACTTTAAAATCTATTGAGTTTGTTTCAAAATTATATGCTATGGTAACTTCTGAAGGTAATGGATGTCCTTCCGCAGTCAGTTGTTCTCTCACTACCGTTTGAAGCTTTGTGTTAAAAACTTTCATGTCATCTCCTGTGTCTAGGTTCACATACACAGCAACAGGAAAACTATCTTGCTTCTTTGTTTCATCATTATACCTCAAAACATTAAAGTTCTTCAATAATATTGTTCTTCCTGCTGGAATACTTCTAACTTGTCTGATTTCAATAGCTTTCTCACCTCCTACATACTCTACCCAGTGTCTTGGATATTCATAAGTATACTGACTTTCTTGAATTTTGGTAGGTTTCATCATAACGTGTTCATAGTATATCTTTATACTCTTGTCAGTTAGACTCGGTGCTATGTTCTGAATATTTCTGACTTGCATTTTTAATGGAGATAAAATGAAGCATTTAATACATGACGTAGATGAAGACATGAATGAAACTACAGACAAACTTAACTCTTCTCTCATTCTTCCTTTCAGTAAGGACTATGAATTCTGTTCAAATGGTGTGTATTTCTATTGTGGAAAGATGGGGTCAGGAAAGACATTTAACCTCATTCGTCATATACTCATAACAGAACGTTTAGGAAATGACTCATATTATGACCAAATCATTATATCAGCAACTTCAGACTCTATGGACTCAACAGCGAAAACATTTATGACAAAAGTTCAAGCCTCTGTCGTTAAAGTTCCAGACAGTGAACTCATTGAATTTCTTCAACGTTACATTCGACGTAAGAGGAAATATTATGCCATCGTTGAATTTATACAGTCAGGAATGCAAAAGACTTCTGAGGAGATGGAAAGAATTATTGACAAACACCACTTACGTCAGTACTCAGGAGTTTACGATATGAAACGACTTACAAACTACATTCTGTCAAAACTTTCAAAATACCCCTTCAAAAAATATCCATCAAACACTTTATTAGTTTGTGACGACTTCGCCGGAAAAGGTTTAGTTTCAAAGCCTGACTCACCATTAGCTAACATCATAACTAAAGTCAGACATTACCATTTAACTGTAGCAATACTTATGCAAACATGGCGTTTCCTTGCTTTAAACATAAAACGTCTCATAACTGACTTCGTTATCTTTCAAGGTTTCTCACGTTATGATATTGAACTCATTTGGAAACAGTCAGGTATAACATTACCTTTTGAAGAAATTTGGGAAGCATATAAGTCTCTCATCTCTCCTCGTTCATACCTTGAGATTCATATCATGACTAATACCATTAAAGTCAAAAATATTCCATGGGAACGACCAACATTGTTTTAAATCTTATGCTTTAATTGACTGATGGTAAACAAATTCCATGCATCTCTGTCGCCATTTCTGTTAATATTTTTGCTGTCATTCATATCATCCACTTCCCCATCCGTTAGCTTTTGAGGATATGGGTTAGAATAGCTGTTCTTAAATGAAGGCTTTTCACCTTTGAGAGCATAAACTCTATAACTTTCTGCATACTTTATGTTTGAACCTCCTGAGCCATCATTGACATAAATTTTTATAGGCTTCCACCCTTTGTTCATGTTCCTGCTTCTTCCCTTAGCTCTTTTGTTCAGTAGTTCTACATCTTTATACACAGCACCTGTCTCAGTGAATTCAACAATATTTTCATTCGTTAGCTTTACATTCAAACCCTTGTCGAGTATATTGTTCATTTCATACATATAAAAGGTTTTTATTCTATATGAAATGAGAAGCAAATCCATCTTAGCTGGTGCTGTTAATGTTCCAATTGAACCAACATCAAATGTTGACTCACGAACGACAAACAATATTGTCATAAAGAACTATAGTTCAGAGTGTTTGAAAGAAAAAGAACCAGAGCTGAAATCCGTGAATTTAAACACAGCTTCAAACGCTAACACTACATCAGATGTTAAGTTAGAGTATCCACCACTGGACCAAATTCTTTCAAGAGAAGCCAACGACAACCCTTACACAAATGTTCAAACAAATCCTTCAGATAACGTAGACCATTACCTTCTTCAGTTATACCAAACAATTTTACTCAAAGACGATAAGAAGCTTTTGACAAATCTTATAAGTAAGAACCAAATAATTCTAACAAAGGAGGACCTTGAAAATGTTATCTCACGAATAACAGGGAAACAATGTGTCATTGACTATCTCGACCCTGAAATCGAATGCTGTGGTCAAACGCCAATATTCATGAAAATAGGTAACATCCGCATCATTGAAACACCAGGAACTACAGGAGTTGAGTTTAAGTATAAATATTCGAATGAATATACAAAACTTTCAACAGAATATAAACTTTGTTTGAAATATGTTTTAGTAAATTAAAGCAGTCAGGAGGGCTCTTTGAGCCCATCTTGGCGCTTTGCGCCGTCAGTCAAAAAAATTTCAAGTTAGCAATTTGTAATATCTATCCAAAACTTCTTCAACAGTATCGAACTCATCTTCATAATGCAAACCTAATCTTATTGACTTGGTGCAGTTTTCACTAACACAATATATCGCTTTGCGCTCGGCGCCTTTGACGCCTTTTTCTGTTCTCTTGACTGACATAACTAATTCATTTGTTTCATCAAACAGCAACAACCAAAGTTCATGACCTAATACATAACATTCATACTTTATATTTTTAGCTCTGAGTTCTCTTGTAAGCTGTTGCATTTAATATTTTCTAAAAAGTCAACTTCAACAGTCATTCGCACTGGTGCCTTCAGTTCTACAGGCTCTCCTTGAAAGTCAACAAGTCTGAATTGCATGTCTTTCAAATTATGAGGACTAATGCGAACCCATTTACCTAAATGAGTTGCTATGACAGGAACGTTTGGAATGAACATTGAATTGACTGCATAACAGAAGGATTTATATTCTACTGAACCTTTACTATTAACTCCTGAAATACCTGTGACATTAGCTATTTTTGACTCAATGTACAAACAATTGCCATAACATACGTATGGAACAGATTTCATCTCAATCGTTTTGTCAACACTTTTCAAAGGAAATGTCATATGGTATGCACCCAAAAGAAGTTGTACTCTATGACTCATTCGTGTTAACTTAAACTCCTTCGCATAACTGAACTTCAAAACTCCTGCAATAAGTTTAACATTCATTAAGTTTTCTTCGTTATCCTTGTTTATTGTAGTATTTATGAGAGCATTTAACACTCCAGCTAATGTTTCCATCTTATATTCTACATTATTGTGAAATCTTATTTCATGCTTCTTTCCATCTATTTCAAGCTCCATGAAATCTGTTTCGTCAGTTATAACGAATGAAGCAATAGTATTAAAGTCAACCATTCTGAATGCAAGTGGCTCATTCTGTAGACCTAAGTTTGTTTGTAGTTTTACTGTTCCGTATTCGTTCGGGTCTGTACTTTGTAAATAGAACAACATTTTATTCTCATTAAAATATGAGTATAGCTGCATATGCGTATGAAGCTGACAGAGCTAAACGTTTATATTTTGGTCAATACTCTCTCACACTTACTGACAAATATATTGTTATCACTGATGGAAATACTGAGAAATACATAACATGGAAGGACTATGAAAAGTTTGACCCTATTTTAACTCCATGTACTATGCCGTTTATAAAGGACGGTGAAATTATTGAAAAAGATAATACAACCGTATATAGGTCTGTTTATGAAGCATTAGAATATATGTTGAATCATAACCCAAAAAGATTTGACCCAAGCACTACACCATGTGCAATGCCTTTTATTAAGGACGGTGAAATCGTAAGAGTTCCGGATTCAACGGTTTACACAGCTGTTCAAAACAGTTTACAAAACATTTTAGCGAATATCTTTAATTCAGAAACTACAGAAATAAAATTACCGTATATAACAGATGCTAAAGAAATTAAATCAAAAACGACAACATTATTTACGTCACTTAATGATTTAATGACTTATATCATTAATATTCCTGCACCAACTACAGCATTTGATCCAAACTCGACGGTTTGCAGTGTACCTTTCATAAAGTCGCAAAGCGACCAGGGCGAAGCCCATGACAGTTCATTAATTACTTTAAGGGATTCAACAGTTAACGAATCATTAAAGGCTTCATTAATGAAAATCATTGATTTTAACTCATTCATGAATACATATAATTCATTCATTAATGTTTCATATGCTTCTAAAGAAGGTGAGCCAAAAACTATCAATAAAGCGGTGTATGAAATAAAAGCATCAACGACGAAATTGAATTCGTTAACTTTTGACGGTGATAGTTTCGTTAATGACATAACATCGGGGAAAACAATTTTAACGAAAGAATATTTAAAATCTCATGTTAGTGAGTTCGTTGAAATTGAAAAAGAAGGTGGAATTAAGTTCGATCCACTGAATTTCATTTTCAGCTTAGCGAATGCGGGTGTTAGTTTCGCTGAATGGACAACTATACAGAGTGAAATAAATGCAATATGGACGTTTTTGGGGTCAAAAGCGGGAATGGGTGAGCTTGTAAATGCTGCAAGAACATTAGGTGAAACAGGAAATTTTGTAGATGGTTTTAAAAGACTTGTTTCAAATGTTTTAACAAACACAAAGAAATTATTTAGATATACCATACATAACGGACGGATTTTCGAACAGATAGCAACAAACCCTCCGGTTATGGCTGCGTTGATGATGGTTAGAGATATAAAACCACGTAACGACGGGAACGAAGAACATGAACAACAGGATACTGGTCGGGTTATTCAAGACATTAAAAACGTGTATCCTGAAGTTATTGATTTATTTAGAGGAGTTAATGATTCAATTTCAAAACATTCTATAACCCTCGATGAAGAGAATAAATTAACAGATTATATATTCGTCATTATTGCAGAATTAATGAAGAGAATAAATGAAAAAGGAATTGGTGATATCATTAATGTCAGCGATGTAATGATGAAAAGAAATTTTGACTCATTATTTACAAAACCGAAAACAGAATATAGTCTTTATGACGTAATTACCGAATTAATGAAAAAGATTAATGATAATAAGAGTTCTGTCGGTAGGCATGAACTTGAAATAAATGAGATAGAAGAGAAATTAGCCGAAAAAGCAGATAAAAACCATGTTCATTATATAAGTTCAGACGAACAGATTATAACGGACTATCATGGATATTTAACACGAAGTGATGAAGCGAAGACAAAAAATGTTAATGAAAGAAGATATAAATACATTCGTGCTAAAGGTTATGACATAAGCTGTACTGTACAGTATGATGTAGCTAAAGCACCAGAAGCATTTGGTTATACCGGTGAAATTTATGCCTCTACTTTCAATGTTAACGGTGTATTAGTTGAACCAAGATTTACTTTGAGAGTTAAGTCAAAAATAACGTTTGAAGATGCTATTAAAAGTAAAGCTGACAAAGTTGAACTTGAAGCAATGAACAAAGTTTTGAAATCTCATAAACACAACATCTCCGATATAAATGAACTTCAAACTTCTTTAGACAGTAAAGCTGACAAGAACCATACACATAAATCCTTCACTACTGTTAGAGCAGACGACATAATATTGAACTTTGACCTTGGTTCAAGTGCACCTTTAGAGAATCCAAGTACAAGCGTAAAAGATACTCTTAACAATTTAGATAAGAGTTGCAGGAATACCGAAGATCATGCCAGAAACTTTGAAGCATATGAACTACCAGCAATGTTAGATAAGAAAGCTGACAAAACTTATGTGGATGCAGAACTAATAAAGAAATTTTCGAAACCAGATACAATGACATTTACAACAGAAATTATAAATGGTGAACCAACAACTCCATTTGAATTTATTAGAGGTCTTCAACCAGATACTTTTGAATTTTTCTTGGATAATTCTATTGAACTAACATTACATTATAAAAGTGGAACAAATGCAACATTTCATCCGGGAGATACATTCCAAATGGTATTTAATGACATAAGTTCTTTAGAATATACTTATAGAGTTATGAGCATATATGATTTAATATATCCTATAGGAGCTGTTTATACGTCTATGAATCCAATAAATCCAAACACTTTATTTGGTGGTAGATGGTATGAAATAGTTGACAGTTTTCCATTCTACACTAATACGCAGTCAATGAAGATGGGAGGTTCAAAGAAAATCGGTATTGAAAACCTTCCTTCACATATGCATAGGTTCAGTGGAAGAACATCTGTGGAAGGAAACCATTCACATTCAATAACAAAAAGAGGTTATATAAATCTTGCAGCGGGTTCGGATAGACAGGGAATGCATAGATATGATATCACAACTGACCCCAAAGATGTTAGCACAGGTATTTTCTGTGGAACTGCAGGAAATCATACACATGTTGTAGCTGGTATTACAGACCCAGCAGGTAATGGAAAAGATTATATGCCTCCTTATATAACAATGCACGCTTGGATACGAGTTGGTTAAACTCTTTAACTTTACATAAATGAGCTTGAAAGAAGTATTCGAACAACATCCATGGAGGTCATTTAAGAAGTTCAATGAAGCTGCAAAGAGTTGGGGATTTACTAACAGAGCTGAAGTGAAAAGGTTCTTTGACAAAAATGTTGTACATCAAACAAAAATAAACCCTTACGACTACTTTTTACCAATTTACTCCAACACTCCTGACGCATACCAATTTGACACTCTCATTCAAAGCAGAAAAGGAGGACATAAACCATTCCTCATCTTCATTAATGTTAACACTCGTAAAGCATATGCATATCCAATGAAAAATAAAGGAACTCGTGAAGTGTTAAGAGTTTTACAAAAGTTTGTAGCAGAACATAGCCCAAGTACTTTAACATCAGACCAAGACAGTGCATATCTCAGCAATGAAATCACAGATTTTCTCATTAAGCATAACATAACTCACTACACTACTGAAGACCATAACCATAACATACTCGGCATCATTAACCGCTTCATAAGGACTCTCAGAGATTTAAACCAAGAGCGAGACTTTACCGAAGAAACAATGAAACATTTCATCGAAGTTTACAATTCCTCAACACATTCTACAACAGGACATACACCAAATTCAATGACACAACAACAAGAAGAAAAGTATATACAAAAGAAACGAAGCCAAACACAAAATATCATAAATTCAACACAATTTACCCTCATTCCTGGTACAAAAGTTCGTGTAGTTCTTGACGACAAACCATTGACAAAGAAACGTTTAAGGTTAAGTAGAAACTATTATATCGTAGACTCTACACAAGGTAATGGATATCTTATAAAAGCTGCTGACGACTCTATTGCGTTTTATCCTCGTCATAAATTAGTCGAAAGTAGTAATGGCAAACTTGCTGAAACCATTGACGAAGCAAAGCGAGGAGTGGTTATTGAAATACTTGGCTATAACATAAACGATGACACTTATAAAGTAAGATATGAAGGAGGCGTTGAAGATGTTATACCATCTAAGAACTTGAGAGAGTCGAAGCCAACACATCTGGGACCATTAGAGCGGGAGTACTGGAAAGACAAAAATATGCCAGAAAGAATGAGAAAATTCTTCTAAACTTTTTCATTAGATGTAAATCAGACATGAACGAGAACAGTCATGATATCATTAATGGTACCATTTATTTTTGTCATAAATTTACACCAAAAATATAATTTAGGTGAAGAGGTGAGATCTCACCCGTTTTCTCACCTGTTTTTTCACCCTCGCCGCTTAGCGGCTCAGATTGCTTTAGCTTTCTCACGAATTTTCATGAATTTCCTTAAGATAGAAAAATAACGTTAGTTTTATTTTTATTTATTTTTTTTATTTTGTATGTAAGAACAGAAATGTCAGTCGAAGCAAAGACGTTCACGAACAAATCTAATGGCGAAACATTCACAAAAGGCACTTATAACGGTATTGAAGTCTTACGTAGAGACAAGGATGGTTACATTAATGCAACAAAGATGGCAAGAGAAGCGGGAAGGTTAAACCATTTAAACAGATTTCTCAATAGTGCTAAAATGCAGGAAATTCTTGAGTTTTGGTTGAAAGAATACGGTCGAGCCAAAAGTGGCTCGACCTCAAAACAAGCATTTTATGAGCTTACTAAGGGTGTTATAAATGAATTCAAAGGTATTTACATACATCCTGACCTCGTTCATTTTGTTGCTGAATGGTGCTCTGTAAAGTATGCATTTTATGTCAAAGATATTATGGACTCCATAGACAAGAAAGTTCATGAGAAATTAGATGAAGAAGAACTCGAAGATACAGTAGAGAATGCTAAACATTTGTTTGAAGAAGAAGTTAGAAAAATGTGCGAAAAACAATTAGAACATGAACGTGAGATATGTTATGGTTATAGAGATTCTCCATACGAACTAGACCAATGGGAACAAGAAGATTTAAAGAGAGAATTTAGAGAATATGAACTCGCTAAGATAGCATTAGAAGCTGCAGAAAAGAAGTTAAAAGTTTGGGGTCGTTTTGTACAAAAATATTGTGAGTAAATGAACTCATGGGCTTCGCCCTTGCCGCTAGCGGCTTATTTTTATTGAATTCAGCAACAAAATTCTGAGTAAAATGGCATATGGCATGTGTCAAACCGTTGAGTTTTCACAAAATTTAAAAAATATAATTGAGGTGAAGAGGTGAGATCTCACCTGTTTTTTCACCTGTTTTTTCACCTCTTCACCTAAAATATATTTTTATTGAATTCAGCACAAAATTCTGAGTAAAATAATTTTTAGGGCATGTGTCAAACCGTTGAGTTTTCACAAAATTTAAAAAATAACGTTTACCATGTAAAACGCTTATAAAATAACTGGGGTGAAAAATTAGGTGAGAAAACGGGTGAAATCTCACCTCTTCACCTAAAATATATTTTTGGTCAAAACTTCCACGAGAGAAAAGATTCCTCATTCGCTAAGGATTCCAAAAATGAAAAAATCATTGATTTCGGCTGAGAAAAAACGGCAAAAACCCTTCTTCCACGGGAACAAAGAAATAAAGAAGAAATAAAGTAAATTTTTATTTATTCCCGTGGAAGATAGAGCACTTTTATGACACTTTTTATTCACGACAAACAAGACAAACAAAGAAAATAAGAAAATACGGCGCTGTCGCGGTTCGAACCACAGACTCTGACCCCTCCATAACACCACCTTAGACCACTGTGCTACGTAGCCTGTCGACATAAGATTTTATAAATTGCATATTTGACGTAAATTTATTTCCATCTAGCTTCCCACCGCATAAGATATTCATACGTGTTTGTAAGACATTCATTAAACTTCTTTTCTATTACATCTAATCTTGCGTTATTTTTTTCAATAACTTGTCTGTATTCTTCATCATCTCCAGCAGTGTTTGGGTCTTCACGTTTAAAATATTCATTGTTAACCAATTTTTTATCTACAAATTTTATTAGTGTTTGATTCACTTCGTTATGATAACGGTCATATTCTTTCAATACATAAGTGAAGACAAAATGCGTCGTACCTTCAATCTTAAAGCTTAAAGAACTTTCAACACAGTTTTGAGGGTCTGTCAATGCGTCAATGAGATAGTATTCGAAGTCAGTCAATAATCTTTTTAAAGTCATTTCATACAGGATAAAATTTAATGTTGTGAAGAAATAGTGTTTATCTCAGAAAAAATAACGTTAGTTTTATTTTTATTTATTTTTTTATTTTGTATGTAAAGACAGTAATGACAACATTAGAGAACACAACAACTGCTATCGTTCATGAAGCCATAAATGAAGAATATGAGTACATACAGTTTAACAAACAACTCCGTCTCATTCGTTCGGTCAAAGACGATATGTACCAAATGCAAAGTATAATGAATGCTCTTCGTTCTACAAAGCAAGCATATCATTGGTTTGAAAACCAACAGACAAAAGAACTTTTAGAAGAATTTCCTCATATGATTGCTTCCCTCGGAAAACCGAGGGAAGAGATTCCATTCGAAAATCGCAAGAATTTGGCTCCTTGTTTGAAAGGTTATTATGTTCATAGACTTTTAGTAAATGCTGTAGCAATGTGGGCTTCACCTCGTTATGCTTGTTATATTTTCATGATGTTAGATGAACTATATAAAGCAGAACGTGAAGATATGGAAAAGAAACTTCAAGCAAAAGATGAAGTCATTGAATCCAAAGACAAAAGCATACAGAAAAGAATACCGCGTTCAGTACCAAAAGGAAAGGAAAAGAGTTATAAGTATATGATATATACTGAAGAGATGGAGAAAGAAGAAGATAAAGATATGGTTATGTTGCATTTAGTCAGAAGAAACAACAAGAGCTTTTATGACCTTGCTAAAATATATAAATCTGACAGAAACTGGTTCTATCGTGAAAACTTACCGATTTCAATGACACCGAATGAGCAAATAAAGGAAATTGTCAAAAATACTCTTCCTCAAACACACTATGACATCAAAGGTTGCACAATACTTACATTCAAAGAAGACTTACCATTACTGAAGGAAAAAATAACAGAATATTTCGATAACTTCAAAGAGGAAGAATGAAAAAATATCGTCAAGTTTATTTTGTTTTTACCATTTAAGTGTTGTAAAATATCCATATGAAGACTAACCAAAAATATATTTTTGCTTAAATAGCTTCAGGGTCAATTTCTTCAACCATTTCACTTCCTTCGTCAATGTCAATAGAAGCTTCTTCAACCTTTGGTAAGAATTTCTGTATAACATCTTTGTTCGTTATTGTCTTCAGAGATGAAGGATAATATTTCACATTTGTTTCACCCTTCTTATATTCTTTCTGTTCGGAAAGATTTAAAGCAATACTGAAGAAGTCAATGTTAGAGTTCTTTATGACAGTATAATGAGTATCTTTGACATTCACGAAGAAACTCTTTTGTTTCAAAACTACTGCTAACTCTTGTGAAGTATAACGTTTGCGGTCAATGACGATAGCTAATGGTCTGACATACTGACCAAACTTAGATTCTTTCACAAACTTCTTGTTAAAGATAACATTAACATTTGAAGCACCATTGAACTCATTCTTGATGGCATTAGCGAGAGCATTGTATGAAAAGAACTTGCAATCTTGCATGTGTTTCATTATAATAAAAAATTCGAAATATTTTAAAACTAGCCTTAAAAAATCTAAGCTAATTTTTTTCTAAGAAATTTTTTTTATCCGATAGAAAAGATGACAGAAAAATTAACTTTTTACATAGCGCCAGACCCTTCTTGCCCACATCTTTTTAAGCCACAATATATAGACATAGAACTAAATAGAGAAAGCGAAATTCTACAAACAGAAGAAACATATAGAGACCTAGATAACGAAAATGGATATGCGCTATTCTGGTTAGATTGTCCTTATGAAATGTATGAAAAAAAGGCTTTATATGAAGAATATAGAAAATATTGTTATGAAAACGATATAAGACCAAGCTCTAGAGAAAAATTCTATGCTGGTATAAAACATCTTTTCAAAGTTCGGAATGGCAAATATAGAAAGAAATAATTTTTCTAATCTAATTTTTTCAAAAAATATTTTTTTATCTGATAGAAAAGATGACAGAAAGAAGCTTTTTCAATTTAGATGTCTATTATTTACAACCCTCACTATTTCCATATATAGAAGTAAAAATAAATGAAAGGGCTACATATAAAGAATATATACAATTTGTAGAAAAAACGGTTATCGACCAGATTCCAAGGATATATTCTTGCAAAATATAAAACCTCTTATAAAAGTGAAGAAATCAAAGAAAATTCCACAATCAATAGAAATATACTTAGATGAAACTTCTGACGGATTTCACAGAATAAATGAAAAGGCTTTATATAAAGATTTTGTAAAATATCTTATTCGAACTTCTGAGGCTGCATATGTGAAAATAAAATTTATTGAGTGAAATATTTTTTAAAAATCTAAGCTAATTTTTTTCTAAGAAATTTTTTTATTTCCTACTAAAGATGTATCGGAAGTTGTCTAAGTTAGAACACTCGGAAATAAAACAACTTCTTACAGAAGCTAACATAGATGTTGCAAAGCATTACGCAACAAACAAAAAAGCACTCGCCGACTTCATTAAAGACTACAATGGTGCAATAAGTTATGATAGAATTCATGAGTTCATAAAGCCGCAACGCGGCGAGGACGAAGTCCATGCAAGAACTTTTCCTTTAAATGACGTTGCTATTGACTTATATCATAGACGTTCAATACCTCATGAAGTAAGGCGTGAGATGTTTGACATAACAAATGCAAACGTTGGTGAAACAAGAAGAAGAGACGACACACTGAAACAACAGAGAAGAGAGATGTTTAAAAATGCTATAGAACAAGTTCGCAAAGCTAACGATGTCATTCGTTCCATTGACGACAAACCAAAAGAAGGTGAGAGATGGTTAAAGAAAGATGAAGAGAATAGGAAGAGAAATGTGAAGTCAGGCAATAGACTCATTGACTTTAACATCGAAGCTTTAGATGAACCAAACAGAGACTACTTACACAAACATTTCGGTAAGGTTTTCATGAGACTCTTAGAGAAAATTAAAATAAACTCCCAACAAAGATGGATGGTATGTTATAAACTTGGTGGAAAGTATGAATGTTCTACGTTAAACCTCAATAATATTGGAACATTACTACATCAGCTCTTGAAGGAGAACTTTATATCAGAGATAGAAGCAAATGCTGCAGGTATTGTTGAAATGCACTATGACTTCTTCTTGACAAACATAAAGAATCTTACTGAAATAAAGATGTATGATTTAACAGAATATGAAGGCTTAACGATGTCAGATGTAAAGAAAGGCAAACCAAAAAAGAGACCATATAGAGATGAAAGCACACTGACAAATGACCAGAAAGCCATTTTGGAAGCTCTTAAGCAAACAGGAAACCCAGCACTTATAGAAAGCTTTTGGAAAGATAATGGTGAAAAGAAGTTTTATAAGAAGAGAAGCGGTCAGTTCTGGAAGTATCTTTGCACATTACCTATAAATCTTGAACGCTACCAAATTTTCAATGAATTGAACAAAAGAACTGCAGCACTTATGACAGAAGACAATTGTTTCGTTTATGCTTGCATTCAGGCTGGAGTAAATGAAGAAACTATTGACCACATGAGAGAAGTCATTCGTGTTAGAGACTTTCCTCAAAGTAAAGTACAAGAAATTTCTGACGCAACAGGTATAGCATTTAATGTTACATTGGTTTTTAATGACTCAAGACATAATGAAATAAAGAGATATATACCAAAAGAATGTGAAACTGTTCGAACTATTGACTTACTTCTTGTTGAAGACCACTACATGCTAAATGAAAGATTACCAATGACAACATATTTCATTCGCAACTATATAGAAATCTTGAAGGAGTGTGGTGGAATGAACATTGAGAAACAGATGAAGATTTATACAAAGAGAGAGAACAAATATGTAGTTCGTTATGATAGAACAACACCGTTATGGGATGTTATGAAAACATTGTGGGAGTGCAAATATTTCGAACCTATTTCTTATGGAGAACTTTTCACATATACGACTGATTTATATAAACAGAACCCTGCACCATTTAAAGATTTGACGTATGCTCCAAAGTATTGTGTACAACTGAAGAAGAAAGCAGAGTCAAAAGAAGTAAATAAAAATAAGTGCAAGTTCATTCCTGAGCACGTTTTCTTTGCTGACTTTGAGTGCAGTACAGACGGCTTTCATAAAGCTTTTAACATATGTTACGACAGTGAAGATGGTTCAGTGAGTGAAAGCATTTGGGGTCAGAACTGTGCAACAGAATTTTTGGAGCGACTTCCTGACAAGAGTTTAATATATTTCCATAACCTCAGCTATGATATAAACTTCATCTTAAGACACATGACAGAAGTGAAAGGAACTCCCATCATTAAAGGTTCACGAACAATGCAAATAACTGGCTTATATAAAGGACGGGCAATTATTATAAAAGACTCTTACAGTGTTATAAATAAGAAGCTTAAACTATTTCCTGCTATGTTTAACTTACAAACAGGACCGAAAGAAGTATTTCCATATAACTACTACAGCAGTGTTTTGTTAGCAAATGACAACAGAACTGGTGTCATTTCTGAAGCGTGTAAGTTTATCCAGGATGCAGATACATTCATGAAAAACATAGATTCCATCAAAGGTTGCAGAATAGATGAGAACCACTTCGACTTAGAAAAATATAGCACGTTTTACTGCAAACAAGATGTAAGAATTTTAAGAGAAGGTTTTGTAAAGTTCCGCAATGACTTATTGAAAGAGTTTGATTTAAACGTTTATGACTACGTTAGTATTTGTTCAATTGCTAACAAATTATTTGAGAACAGAGTATACTTCCCGAATGGAAATCTTTATGACCTCTCAAATAAACCAAGAGAATTTATTTCGAGATGCATTCAAGGTGGAAGATGTATGTTGTCAGATAACATGAAACAAAAGAGCGAAAAGAAACTCATTGCTGACTTCGACGCTGTTTCATTATATCCATCCGCTATAGCAAGACTTTATACTTTAGAAGGAATTCCAAAAGTATTGAAGGATGAGATGTTAAGCACAGAGTATCTCATGAGACATTTATTCAATGACGACCAAAAGGAACCCATTGGTGAAAAGTTTATGTCTGGCTTCTTTGTTCTCATTAAGATAACAGAGATTGGAATACATAGACACTTTCCTTTAATAGTTTGTGACCCTGAACTAAATCCAGAACTTAACGTTCCCAGAAGTTCAAACACTTGCTGTTTAATGTATGTTGACCATATAACATTACAAGACCTCATAAAATATCAAGGTGTCAAATGTGAAGTGTTGCAAGGATACTATTACGATGGAAACAGAGATATTAGAATAAGAGATGAAGTAAAGAAGTTGTTTGAGTTAAGGTTAAAGTATAAGAAAGAAGGAAATCCTTTGCAAGAAAATATAAAGCTCATTCTGAACAGTATTTATGGCAAAACTATTCTATCTCCTATTGAGTCAAAAATAACCATAGTAAATGACAAAGATGCTATAAGATATGCCATCAGAAACTACAACCATATAGTGAAGTTCGAAGGTTTGGATGGTTCAGATAAAACTATTTTCAAGCTAACGAAAAGCATTTGCAGACACTTTAACTTCTGTCCACTTGGTGTTAACATTCTATCTATGTCGAAGAGAATAATGTGTGAAGTATTCTGTACTGCTGAAGATATGGGACTTCAAATATTTTACCAGGACTGTGATAGCATGCATATTTTCAATGAAGACATACCAAAGCTTGCAGCAGAGTTTAAGAAGAGATACGGTAGAGAACTTATTGGTAAAACATTAGGGCAGTTCCATTCTGACTTCGCAGAAATAACACCTGGAAAACAAAGTTTAGCATACAAGTCAATATTTTGTGGAAAGAAGACCTACATAGACTTACTCACGAATGATTTAAATGAAGTTGCATTCCATGCACGTTGTAAAGGTGTAAAACAAGACGTTCTTGCTTTAACAGCTAATGAAATGTTTCCTGAAGCTATACAATGCTATTACAATGAAGATAAGAACATTCACATACCTGTTGGAACATATGACAAAGACTCTGAGTTCAGTTTAATGAAACTTTACAAAGCACTTCATGATGGTCAAGAGATTGGATTTGACTTATGTAAGTCTTCTAGTCCTTGCTTTGCTGAAAAGTTTAACTTCTCAATAACGACTAAAACAAGCTTTATTCGTAAGTTGAAGTTCTGAGGTCATTTATTTTTGTCAGCAATGAGGTCATGAATGAGGTCAGCAATGAGGTCATGAATGAGGTCATGAATGAGGTCAGCAATGAGATCATGAATGAGGTCATTTATTTTTGTCAGCAATGAGGTCATTCGTGATAAAAATAAAGCTAGCGTAGATTTTACAATACTGCGATGGTAGAGTTTAAGAGTTGTGCTTCAATGTAGAGACAGTCCTTATGGTCTGGAGGTAAGAACACTGGGCAGTTATGGTCATGAGTGGAGAACATGTCTATCCAAAACTCACGATTGAAGCCAGTTAATTTATAGTATTTAGGGTTAGGAAGTGGTGAAGTTCTTGTATGACCAATGAACTCATTTTCAACTCCCTTACTTAAGTTTGAATATAATATAGCTTGCTTTCTATCCCAAATACCAGGTGTTACAATCTTTGAAAATTCATTTTTCCTCGGAAGCATTGCATCATAATTGAAAACATTCTTGAAATCATCACTTGGTTCAGAGATTTGAAATCTTATACGTAATGGATTTTTTTTCTTTTTAGCTACTTCATTGAATGGTGAGAATACAACAAACTGACAGTCATGAGTTCCATCTTCATTTTCATTAAATTCATAATGAAAGTCTATAAGTTGTGGCCGACTACCTTCTTCCTTCAGTTGTGCAAGAAACTCACGTAAAGGCTGTAAAGTTTGTACTTCAATGTTGAACTTTTTCTCGAACATCTCATTAAATGAAATCATACATTGCAACAATGTTGTATCGTCTTTAAAGTATTTGTATATGTGAATGTTTTGGGCGCTTAAAGACTGTTCGTCATTTTCTATCTCGACTTGAAGTATAAAGTCAACCTTTCTGAAAGCACGTGTTATATACATAGATGTTATGCCAATGTACTTCTCTTCATTTATGTTCACAATCCAGTCTGTTGGAAACTTAAACGTTACTCTGTTCCCCTTTATTTTGACGTCAGGGTTTTCACTACTGAACGCAACAGATAAAGGTATTTGTCTATACATTTAGTTCCAATAAAAATAAACCATTTACTCTTTCTTTGCTTCAGCTTCTTTAGCTTTTGCTTCAGCTTCTTCTCTAGCTTTTTTCGCCAGTAGTCTTGGGTTCTTTTGTCTTCCAGCAGCTAATGCAGCAAGTTGTTTTTCACTAAGTTTTCTCTTTGGTTTCTCTGGCTTTTGTTCTTGTTTTTGTTCCTTCAGTTCGGATAAAATTTGCTCACGAATTTCTTTCTTCAATGCTTCAACATCTATGACCCTTTGGGTCTTGTCCGTAGGACTTGTCTGAGTCATTTGACTGCAGATAAAAAACAAAATTAAAACTTTAACCGATGTAAAATGAGCTTGTCAAAATCAGAGCGAGAGTCTATTATATTAAATGACGCAAGAGGAATACAACATCCTTTCTATTACGTAAGTCAGAGTAAAGATGGTAAAATATACGTAAGAAAAAGAAAGGTTCCATTAGCGAATGCAGAGAGCGACAACATTAAGGTGCATGGCAAGGGTGAAGTCCACGAAGCCCATATAAAACCTTCTGTTCAAACTGAAAAGTCAATAGAACAAGAAGAAAAGAAGCCAGATGTTCTTTCAATAACGAACCAAGAGCTTATTGCAAAGTTCGTGAATTTCATTGAAAAGCAAACCGAGTCAAAGAATCCTGACCCACCAGTGAAAGAAGTTGAGACAAAAGAGAATGTACAGTTCATTGAAAATGTCAAGAAACAACTTCCACCACGAATGCCAAGAAGAAGAGTGAGAATAATGAAGTAAATAGATATTTTTATCCGAAGTAAATACATGCAGAACGAACAGTTAAACGAATTTACTCCAGCAGAGCATATTCATCAGATTCGCTCATATTTCGATATCATAGACAATGCAGTTCAAATTGGTGACACTAATAGAAAATATTCTGACGCAAAGATTCCATCACAACCTGGAACTGCTAAAGATAACACATGGGTAACATTCAATCTCTCACCTCCTGGTGAAAATATGTTGGACCTTTACAATACATTCATTACGTATAAAATGGAAGGTCAATTTATTGCAGATAAAGAAATTGGTTCAGGTTCCAATAAAACAAACCCACCAGGATTTTGGATTGGTTTCGATGACGCTTTCTATGCAGTTGCTGGATATCAAATCCTTGCAAATGGTCGTATCGTATATTCTCAAGACAACGCAAGAGAAGAAGCATATATAACTTCAAACTCACAAACTACCGAACAAATAAAGAAAGTAGATGTTTTCTCAAAGACTCGACATGAAGATGTATGGAGTCATTCGGGAACATGCAGAACAGGACAAATTGTTAGTGGTCCAATTACAGCAGGAAAATCATTTGATTTTAAGCTTCGTTTAAGAATTCCTGTTAGAAGTTTTCCATTAGAAGCTATAAGATTTATTCCTGCTTTTGCTGGTAACATTCAGCTTAAAGTAAAGTTCAGTAGCGACGCCTTACAATGCACATCTATATCTGTAAATGATATCATTGCTTTCAATCCAACTCTTAAAGTTGCATTTGCTTCAGATTCAAATCCACCGACAAATAAATTTGTTCCATGGAATGAACCATTCACTATGATAACGAAGGCAATAGAAGCTAGTGGAACAGTTACTATTACAACTGTAACCCAGCAACTATTTCGAACAAAGATGGATTTTAATGAATGTTTCATTCATCCAAAGTCATTCTCTTTAGACCCTAACATTTATACAGAACTTGTAGAACATTATACAAACGAGGCTTTATGTTTTCCTGTTAAAGTTATGGATTGGATTCCTATGGACGGTTCATTCTCAAAGAATACAGATAGTTCAAGTGCAACATTTACAGCAGCTTATACGCCTATTAATGTTAAAAGTATTTGGGCACTATTTAGAAAGAAAGACAACTATTATGTTAATTTTGAGAACCCTAAGTTTAAATATCTTCAGCTTTCCATGGGAGCTTATGGAAATATGCCTGCAGAACCTGAAAAATCATATGGACCTGTATTTTATGAAATGGTTGCGAACGCCTGCAATACAAACAATGATATGATAGGATTTAATGAAGATGTTATGAGGTCATTGGTGGATGATGGTAGTGTGGAACATAAATGGGATAGCTATGACAACACACATTTCTTATGTGGTTTTCCAACAGAAGTGGACTTTTGCTTCCAGCAAGGTCAAACATCTACTGCTCCAATAACATACAAATTGTCTGTTAAAGGACCTATTGAACTAGCAACTGAAAATGTACCAAAGCCACTTATTGGATTTATGAGGGATTGTTGCTTTGCCATTCAGGTGCGTGCTAATGGAATCCCCATAATAAGATTAGATGACTATAACTTAGCCACGGACGACAGTGAGGAATAAAGGATGAACGTTTATTTTTAAAGCTTATAAATGAGTTCTTCATCAAGCTCTCGCGAACCTTCACCATCTATGAAACAAACTTTACCAAACGATTATGGAGCACCTATTGAATATTTCTTACGAGCTGCACAATGGCAAAGAGCAGTCTCACCAAGGTTAGGTGTTCCACCAGCTCCTGTCAAAAATAGCATTTGGTCAAGTCCTTATATAAAATATGGTCTCCCACTAGGTTTGCTAGCTACAGCAGGAGCAGTTATGATGTTGAAAAGAAATAAAGCAAATGTTGTAAATAATACTGAAGTAGCTGAAGTTAAACAAACTCCAACACATTCGCCAAAACCAACGCCTTCACAAACAACACCTTCAATGACTCCTGAACCTATGGAAGTACAAACTCCTGTTCAAAAGTCAACTCCTAAACCGACTCCAACATTTAAACCAGAACCTACACCACAAATAAATCGTAAAACTCCTGCGTTTCCTTACTGAAAAATAACGTTATTTTTATTTAATATTAAAATTTTTATTTGATTGAAATGACGACTAAAGTCACTGAAGCAATGAAACAAAAGTTTTTGGTAGAATACATTAAATCAGGAACTATTCCAGAAGGTTTTTACGTTCATACTATGAAGGATGGTAGAGTTCAGTTTAGAAAGATAAAGCAACCATTAGATAAAGAAGGAATTTTGAGAAAGATTAAACTTCATGAGGACAACATTGCTGAACTTAAGAAGAAGCTAGAAGAGTTGGAGAAAGGAAGAGAGTTATAAAGCAATGAATTCAACAGACCCAAAGGGTCAGAGCCGCAAAGCGGCTAGGTTAGAAATGAGGTTAGAAATGAGGTTAGATCTAACCACTTCACCTAAATATATTTTTTCACCTCTGACAACGTTTATTTTTCATTAGTGAGTTCGTTAGTGAAGTCGTTAGTGGTTGGCGGTTTTGTAAATATTTAAGGTTAAGTTAGTGTTGTCGTTTGTGTTATAAAGCAATGAATTCAAGTGGGTGAAAAACCAGGTGAAAAAAGAGGTGAGATTTCACCACTTCACCTAAATTTATTTTTGTGCTATGTTTTCATACGTGTGAAGGTAGTAATATCATTTATTTTTAAGTTTATTTTTTATTTTATTTTTATGTAAATGACGAAAACTATTGAGATAACAAACTACAACGGTCATGAGTTCAAGAATTTGTTCTTCGTTCCTCGTGAAAATACATTCTATCAGATACGAGGGAGAAAGGGTAAAGTTAGTTTGAGCGTTTACGACAACAAACATAATGGGAGATATATAAAAGCAATAGATACAAACGGTAAGCGTGTTTCATTAGCTTTGTCAAAACTTACATACATTTATTTTGACAGTGATTTTGACTCTGACGATTGGAGTGACAGCAGCGATACTGAAGAATATGAACTATTGTGTGAAGCACAGCAATGGGAAGCGCTGCAATACTTTTGTAAATGAGAACATTAGTGGGAACGTTAGTGAAAACGTTTATTTTTCATTAGTGAAGTCGTTAGCGAAAATGTTACTGAAGTCGTTAGTGAAGTCATTAGTGAAGTCATTAGTGAAGTCATTAGTGAAGTCATTTATGTGTCAGACGGTTTTGTAAATATTTAAGGTTAAGTTGGGTAAGGTGGAACGCAGTGCCACAGTACCCAAGTTAACCATACTAACTTCTCTTGGAGGGTTTGGTGGTATATAAGTTCCACCAGCTGGCACATATGTTCCATCTGCAGCATAATGTCCTACCTGACTTTTCGTTTTTAAGAAAGCATTTACTAGGTCTTTTTTGGTCTGTTGTAACTCTTTTTCTTGACTTTCCACAACAGTTGCTCTAACGGAGTCATAGGCACTTTGAACTGCCTGTCTCGTTGCTGCATCTGTTATTTTCGTCATATTTTGTGCTACTTCTTTTAACTCTTTGTCGAAACCTTCAGACTTCAGTTTCTTTCCAGATGAGAAGTCGTTCACTAGTTTCACCTTACTATGAAGAGCTTCGAAGGCGTTCTTAAAGTCAGCATTCATTAAAGCTTCATTTGAACTGTCTTCATCCGCTTGTATTTTTGTCCTTATTGACCCTATAAGTTGGGCTGCTTTAGCGTTGGCTTGGGCATCTAACCAGTCATTGTTAGCTTTTATATATTCTGCGCTTTTCATTGCCTTTTGCATGGCTGCGTCGTTATTTTTACTTTCTTGTGCTAAGTTTTCATACTGTACGGTTTGGTTTTGCAACTGTAAAAGTTTTTCTGCCTTTACATTTGCTTCAACTTCTTTTTTATACTCATCGCTATCCATATATGTCTTCAGGGCTTTTTGTTTTATTTCTTCATCTTTCAGTACTTTATATCGAGTAGTATGGTTTTTCAAATTTATGACATCTTGTTCCATTTTTGCTACTTCTGCTGCTTTTTCTGACACTTTTTTCGCATATTCCTCTGTACTTAGTTCTTTCAGTTGTTCTTCTTTCTTCTTTTTCTCTACGTTTAACTCATTGAGTTTCTTTGTGTGTCTGTCATATTCTAGTTTCTTTTCGTTTTCACTTATTTGTTTCTGTATGTCTATGTTTGACTTTTTGACATCTGTTATTTGATTTTTGAGTGAACTCAAATTCATTTGACTTTGAGGGTTATAAGCTGTTCCGTCTGCAGCTCCACCATAGCCTGCCATTTTCGCTAAAAGTGCCGCTCTTAAACCTCCACTCTGTGCACCAAGAACTCGGTTTAAAAGCATAGGATTGCTTGACATTTGTTGCAACATAGTGGGGTCATTCAGCATTTGTTGTTGCAACTGTTGTTGTGGTGTTAGTCTTACTATTGGATGTTTCAATGCTCTCTTCCTCTTACGTATATTCTTACGTAGCTTACGTGGCATTTTAAGTGAAGTTAAAAACATTTACGATGAAGAAGTTTCGACAAAACATTTACGAAGAAATCATGAAAATTCAAGAGGTGAGAAAACAGGTGAGAAAACAGGTGACATCTCACCTCTTCACCTAAATTATATTTTTGGGTCATTTACGCTCATTACGAAGAAGTCTTGACAAAACATTTACGAAGAAGTCTTGACAAAGCATGAAAACATATATAATTTGTGAAAAGCGACACATTATATAATGTTTTCGACCCAGAAGACTAACAATTTTCCGAATAAAAACTTCATTTATACTAAACATCTTCAGGGCTAGAAGGCACGAAGTGCCTGGAAGCCCCATTACCTTTTTTTTTTTTTTTTTATATATAACATGATTAGGTCTTCCATTGTTGCATGCTAAGTTCGGTCAAAATGTAAACCTCTCAATTTTATCGTCGGGGGAAGTAACTCAATTCCTTCAAAATTATTCTTTAAATATTGAATTTAAAGTTATTTAATTTGGATTATAAATAAATAGGCTAATACAATATTTAAAAATGAGAAAAAATAACTTTTCAAAGAACTTTTCATAATCTCAAAGAAAATTTTTTATTCAATAATTATATAAATTAATTAACATTCATAATGAAATTGGATTTTTTTTATAAAAAATTGGTCCTACTTAACTTTTTGAGAGAATTTGGCTTTCTCGTAAACGAAAAAGGGATTTGACGGAGTCAAATCCCCGCTCACAAAAAGTGGACTTTACATGTCAAATTTTATATGCATGTAATGTCCACTTTATGAGTTTTAGGAAGGAATTGGAAGCCATGAGTTACTGACATTGCATCAGTATCTCATAGCTCCAATTCCTTCAAAAAATGGGAGAAACTTTGTCCGAATAGTTTACATTCGGACAAAGTTTCTCCCATTTTAAGAAGGAATTGGAGGGTAAGAGATATACCATATGAATGTATATCTCTTACCCTCCAATTCCTTCTAGAAAGTGTCCAAACTTTGGGTTAATTGCAAAGTATTAACCCAAAGTTTGGACACTTTCAAGTGGAGATGGAAGGCTTTGGGGTATATATTAATACAATATACCTCAAAGCCTTCCATCTCCACTACAAATGTGAGAAACTTTGTCCGAATAGTTTAACATTCGGACAAAGTTTCTCCCATCTTTCAATGTAATTGCTACCTGTGAGGTACTGACTTGAAGTCAGTGCTTCACAGGTAGCAATATCCAAAAATTTAAAAACATTTTATCAGTTCGTTAGAGAACTAGAGCCTCCTAGGTACTGAACCAGAATCAGTGCCTAGGGGACTCTAGTGATCTATATAAATCTGAGAAACTTTGAGGAAATTGTTCGACATTTCCTCAAAGTTTTTCAGCAATTTAGCGAGGAATGTTCGTTATCGTGTAGATATTTATAATATATACATGATAACAAACATTCCCCGCTAAAATATGTAAAATCTTATAAGAAATAATTGCAAAAGAATAACAAATTGCAACAAATTTTATATGAAACTGAACCTTATGAGGTAGTGATTCAAGATCACCGCCTCATAAGATTCAGTTTCAATCTCAAGTATCTCAAAAGTAAGGCTCTATTTTTTGCCATGTAAAGTGTCACTTTTCTGTCCAAATGATAAGTTATTCAGAGAAAGTTTCCCAGCTATCAGAGGGAATTGTTCCTTATGAGGTATATATTCATACTGTATACCTCATAAGGAACAATTCCCTCCTTAAAACGAGAAAACTTGTTCGAAATTGTTTATCATTTCGAACAAGTTTTCTCGTTTTTAATAACAAACTAAAGGCTATGAGGCACTGATTATATATTAGTGCCTCACAGCCTTTAGTTTCTAATAGATAGCTGGGAAACTTTCTCCAAATGATAAGTTATTCAGAGAAAGTTTCCCAGCTATCAAGAGGGAATTGTTCCTTATGAGGTATATAGTTATAATGTATACCTCATAAGGAACAATTCCCTCATTAAAATCGTAGATATTTTTTACTTATTACTCATGCTTTCAAAATCACAATCCTCTGAAAAGTTATTTTTTATTAAGAATTTAGAATTTTGATAAATACCTTTTTTCAATTTGATATAAAAAAAAAAAAAAAAAAAGGTAGTGGGGCTTCCAGGCACTTCGTGCCTTCTAGCCCTAAGAATTTTTCCCAAGACCCAAGAGGAGGACCGAACCCCAGCCGACCAGCCGTTGACTTTTTTGTCGAAACTTCTTCATCGTAATGAGCGTAAATGACCAAAAAATAATGTTTAGGGTAGAAGGTTAGATCTAACCTCTTTTCTAACCTCATTTCTACCCTCTTGAATTTTCATGATTTCATCGTAAATGCTTTGTCGAAACTTCTTCATCGTAAATGTTTTTTACTTCACTTAAAATGCCACGTAAGCTACGTAAGAATATACGTAAGAGGAAGGGAGCATTGAAACATCCAAAAGTAAAACTGACACCACAACAACAGTTGCAACAACAAATGCTGAATGACCCCACTATGTTGCAACAAATGTCAAGCAACCCTATGCTTTTAAACCGAGTTGTTGGTGCACAGAGTGGAGGTTTAAGAGCGGCACTTTTAGCGAAAATGGCAGGCTATGGTGGAGCTGCAGACGGAACAGCATATAACCCTCAAAGTCAAATGAATTTGAGTTCACTCAAAAATCAAATAACAGATGTCAAAAAGTCAAACATAGACATACAGAAACAAATAAGTGAAAACGAAAAGAAACTAGAATATGACAGACACACAAAGAAACTCAATGAGTTAAACGTAGAGAAAAGAAGAAAGAAGAACAACTGAAAGAACTAAGTACAGAGGAATATGCGAAAAAAGTGTCAGAAAAAGCAGCAGAAGTAGCAAAAATGGAACAAGATGTCATAAATTTGAAAAACCATACTACTCAATATAAAGTACTGAAAGATGAAGAGATAAAACAAAAGCCCTGAAGACATATATGGATAGCGATGAGTATAAAAAGAAGTTGAAGCAAATGTAAAGGCAGAAAAAACTTTTACAGTTGCAAAATCAAACCGTACAGTATGAAAACTTAGCACAAGAAAGTAAAAATAACGACGCAATGCAAAAGGCAATGAAAAGCGCAGAATATATAAAAGCTAACAATGACTGGTTAGATGCCCAAGCCAACGCTAAAGCAGCCCAACTTATAGGGTCAATAAGGACAAAAATACAAGCGGATGAAGACAGTTCAAATGAAGCTTTAATGAATGCTGACTTTAAGAACGCCTTCGAAGCTCTTCATAGTAAGGTGAAACTAGTGAACGACTTCTCATCTGGAAAGAAACTGAAGTCTGAAGGTTTCGACAAAGAGTTAAAAGAAGTAGCACAAAATATGACGAAAATAACAGATGCAGCAACGAGACAGGCAGTTCAAAGTGCCTATGACGCCGTTAGAGCAACTGTTGTGGAAAGTCAAGAAAAAGAGTTACAACAGACCAAAAAAGACCTAGTAAATGCTTTCTTAAGAACGAAAAGTCAGGTAGGACATTACGCTGCAGATGGAACATATGTGCCAGCTGGTGGAACTTATATACCACCAAACCCTCCAAGAGAAGCACCTGCACCAGGACTACCTAGAACATTTACATCGTCACATGGACATAGACACAGGCATGCACCAAAACAACAACCAACAGTTCAAAATCCAGCACCACAACAACAACCAGAGCAAGGACAACAACCAACAGTTCAAAATCCAGCACCACAACAACAACCAGAGCAAGGACAACAACCACCTCCACAACCAGCACAACAACCAACAGTTCAAAACCCTGCACAACAACAACCACAAACAGAGCAAGGACATAAAAGAAGTAGAGAACAAGGAAACCAAGAATTCTTAAAAATGCTAAAGGAAGACTATGGTTACCCAGATACTCTTGACTTTAGTGACAGATATAAAGAAGCTATTAGAAAGTTCAAGGAAGGAAATACTGACCCGAACCTATTTAGCTTTATGGTTCAGCACCAAATGGGATATAATTTCAAACCTGGAAAATACAAGCTCGCTAAGGGATATGATTTAATAGCATATCATCCAAATGACATGACTGAATTTACTCCGAGATATTTGGTGTCAGAGCTAAATGACAATTTAACTCTCTTCATGAAACGCGTAAAAAATAGAGACGGAACGAAAGAAGAAAGGTTTATGAGTCCGGATGACTTAGAAAGGGAACTTGTTGAAAACGGTCTCGGAATATATGAAATGCCAGCAGATGAGGTACAAGAAACTCCACAGGAAGAAGTTCAGATACAACCAGACATGGAAGAAATAGTTCAGCAACAACAGCTAGAAGAGCCTGAAGGAAACGAACAAGTCACTCCTTTGGAAACTAACTTCACAGAACTAGATGAAGATTTGGAACAGCCGAAAAATCTTGACCCTCAACAAGAGTATGCGGAGAATATGGAATATTTCCAAGAGTCTAAAAAAAATTCGGCTGACATAGTAGAAGAATATCGAAAAATGTTTGCCGACATACAAAAGACTCCAACACCAGATGAAAATATTCAGCATAGAATGGAAGCACTGAAAGAAAATGTACACAAATACAACAACCCTTTTTACTTACGAGCATTTAACGTTCAATCTTCGGATGAACTCGGTGAAAATAAAAGGTTAAATTTCAAGAAAACATATAGAAATGAAACATTGTTTAAAGTTCATTCAGAACCTAGCCAAGATGGAAACAGACCTACTTTTGTTTCTGCAGACAATGGAACTACAATGAGATGGGGTCATAAAGCTAATCCGGATAGGTGGTTCATAAACTTACAACCACAATTCCAAGAAGTTGTAGACGCAATGGAAGTCAATGGTGAACCAGATATAGCTGGTATTTTCAGCGCGGCTTTAATGCCATTGAAAGATATGAAAGATGCAGATATTTTGGACCAGTATGAAATGAACATGGCTGATGGAAATATAACACCTGACGTTCTAGAACATTTATCTCAAAGAACTACACAGAACCATAAAGATGGTATATTTGGTGAAGAGTTTAGAAAGAAAGTTAGGGAGAGCGAAGGAAGAGAACCTATTGTACATGACCTTGCAAACGAAAGTTTACAAAATGTCATAAAAACTTACTTTGCAGACAATGAACCGAGAAGGGATGAATATTTAAGAAAACTCAAATGGACAGTACCAAATGAAATGTTAGTATTGAAAAACATGTTCCTTGACAAAATAAAACCAACTACAGAAATAAACGACGCAAGACTGAAAGATTGGGTAAAAGCTTTCCCATTCACAAAAGATATAGTTGGTAACATGGAAAGAAAACCAGAATGGCTACAAAAACATATATTTGGAAACGAGCATATTCCATATGGACAGGCACTGTTTGAAGAGCTTGAACCTGAAACTCAGGAAAGAGTCATGCAAACAATACGCGAAGACTCAAATACAAACTATGACAAACTCTTTCTAGGATATAGGTTACCTGAGATGGGCGACCAGAGCCCAAAGGCAAAAAGGACATGGGAAATTTACAACATACTAGGTGAACATGAGGCAAAGATGCAACAACTTGAAGCAGAGGGCAAGTTACCAAAGAAGAAGAGAAGAGTTGTAGAAAGTAGTGAAGAAGTAACTTCATCTAGTGAAAGTAGTGGCAATGAAGGAAAAAGAAGAGTTAAAAACTCAGTCAGGAAGAAAGTAAAGCTTGGTCCACGTGGGTTCTATTATGACACATAAATTCAACTATTCTATATTTTTACCCATATGAAATGTACGCCGCTCAGAATATAACGCCAACAGTTTTGGATGCCATGAATGGAAATGTTTCCGAATGGTATAACGAATGCGACAATGCCATTAGAAGGTCAGAAATAGTTCCTGGAACTTACGAATATACAACTGCTGTTTCTTATGGAAACGTAGGTGAGTTTGGAGAAGGTTCTTCAACAACAGTAGATATTGCTTGCGACAGGTTTCATATTATTTCTATTGACAACTCATTCTTATACGTGGAACAAGACATTGAAATAAAACCTTCTGCCAAGTTGTCTGACAAGAAAGGTTGCAATGGAATTTTCTATGTCGGATACCAATATGCTCCAGAAGTTTTCATGGGATATAAGATATATTCTAACTCTGACTTAGTTCAAACAGTAACATGGGCAAACTATGAATGGTTCGCTTTGAGAAACTCAGTACAACCACAAGCTAGAGAACAAACAGACCAGTACGCAACCATTGAGAAAATAAGAAGACTTGACCCTAACGTTCCAGGAGTTTATGTTAACCTTTCTGGACAAACTGCAGCAGCAGTAACCAAAGTAAAACTGAAACTTAGAGTTCCTTTGTCATCTTTCCTCATCTTCAGGTTTTTAAGATACTTGCCAAACTGGGCAGGAAAAATTTCTATCGAACTTACTCCAAGCAAAAATAACTTAGTCATTGCACCAACGCAAGACCCATTCACTCTTACAGACGTAAAGGGAGCAAATCAAACGTCATTCGCCGAATTTTGCAAAGACAAAGTTGACTTAGACTTTGGCTTCTCAAACCTCAACACTGAAGTAAACTATTATTTCAATGCTGCTGGAACTGCTTGGGACCCAGTTAGGTTTACATGCGAACAGTTTGAATGCAAGAGAATAGAAAGCAGACTTGCAGTCTATATGTTGGACCCAGATATTTCAAATGCTTTAGCTGCCAAATATATTGCAGTTCCACTTATGTTCCCTATACACCAAATATCTGTCAAAGACTTTGCAGGTGAAGTTGGAAACCAAAATCCAGGAACCGCAGGTGCAAGAACAGATATTGCTTTAACAACTGCAATGAAACATGCAGATACTATGTTTGTACTGTTCAGACGAACTATAAATGACTATTCTTGTTTCTACAACCCCGGTATTAAATATCATATAAACATAGATGGCAAATATTATCCAAGAGAAGAATATTCTACAGTTGAGGATATGAGGTCATACAACTTGACATTAGATGCTATGAACTTTAACAACAACTTCACAACAACCATTAACCCTGAAATGCAAAGTTCTATTATGCCATATGTGAAAGTATGGACTCATACAGGAGGTCAAAAAACTCAATATACAAATGGAGACCGTTCAAACTTTTGGCTTGGCATTCCATTTGCTGACTCAGAAGACTTTATGGGTGGTATTTCAACTGTTGGTACAGTTCAATACAATATACTGGTGACAGAGACGGTCCAGATGAACTAAAAGCAAGAAGTTTACAAAACAATAGCACTTTTCACGGAAAGATGCTCTTTTGAAGATTCGTTCGATGAAACCTGCTGGGGCTCCTCAGATTGGCATAACGACAGCTTCCATCGAGCAGATTTTGGCAGCAGGTCAGTAAGTTGTTCTTGAACTGACTTCTCTCCGTCAAATATTGACAGTACGCCAGTTTTGACATAAAATTGTATTATAAACTTACCTTTAGAAATATCTGTAAGTTTTGTGTTTATATTTTGTCTGCTTCAAGAACTTTCACCATTTCAGTTATACCAACTCTCTCTGCTTTATGAAAATATTTTGGTTCAGCAAAGACTGCTATTCTATAACATTTTCCATTGTTTGTGTAAAGAACTATTCTGTCAATGTATTTGTATTGTTTGTGTGTGTAAACTTTGTTCTGCTTCAATTCAATAAGATATCCGAATACGTCCATCTTTTTATTCTAAGTAAAATGTCATTTCCGAAAAATAAGAAGCGTAAGTGTTTCAAAAGGTTTAATGGCGGTGGCAGATGTGAAGTTAAATTCACCAACTCAAACAAACAGTCAAAGTGTTGTTGTTCAATGTCAAAGAAAGAGATGTTGAAGTGGGGAAACCATACGAGGACGAAGATGGTATAACAATAGTTCCTGTAAAAGAAACAACCAACATACCCTGAAGTTAGCAGAGACTTAAGTTCTGTTGCAGATATTCGAAACGACTACCAACAACTTAAAGACAAACTTAAAACTCAGGAGAAGATTTGTCAGGCTTTAGGTATAATGTTAAACTTGGTCGAACACAACCCTGTAAAAGTGAACTCATATGTCATCGCACCTCATGAAGTTTGAAAGAACTATTGAAACTTTTGACAGAGGCAGACGATATAAACATCAAAGAAATAGAACCCGACATTGCTTGCTGTGGTGTTGCATATAATGTCATTGACAAGATATACGTTATGAAAGGAGGTGAAACGTTGAACTTAAAATATAGTTTCCCAGACGTCATAAAAATATTTGACGACCACAACATTTCATTAAAATTTATTTGCTAAGTAAAATGGCAGAAGACACAATGGTTTATTAACTATTACGACTAAAAACCCTGAGTCATATAATTCTATAACAACAAACTTACAAAGTCCTCAAGGACGATATTGTAAACTAACTTTAAACACAATGACGACTTAAAGCCTGTTTTGCTTTTTGACACCAGAAGATTTTATTGTTGTGAATGGTAAAAATACTCCTTTGAAGATACTTACTCAGATATACCACCAACAGGTTTTGTTTGACTTATTTAATACTTTAAGGACGGATGTAACATGTGCTGCAACTAGAGCAGGTTTCATTATGTTTGGATGTCCGACTGAGTTTACTATAAACAATATGAGCTATTAATACAAAACTTATATCTGTGTTTTTACTACCAACAGTTTCTATAACAGGAAAAAGGTGTCATACAAGGAATGTCTATTCCATTGACATTAAGCACACCTATTTTATATATTGTTTCAAACTTAGGTTCAAAGTGCTATTCGAATGTCGACAGAAACTACTATGACCAAAAGATACTTATGCGTATAAACAACACTTTCTCTGCTGGTTTGCCTATTGTTCATTCGAATGCAGAGTTTTCAGCTTTAGTAACTCAAACACTTTAGCAAACATAACTTAACCTTAGTTGACGCAAACTTTGTTCCTGTAAAACTTTTATGTCCTATGTATTTGTCAATGACGGCAGAAAGTTTCGAATTGGAAGATGCAACTGGTGAAAGTATTGTATTACAAGAACAACTTCAACAACAAATAGCTCAAGAACAACAAATGCAACAAATGCAACAAATGCAACAAATGCAACAAATAGCTCAAGAATAAAAAAATATTTTTTTATTTTTATAAAAATGTACAGAATAGATGTTTCAGATTTTTATGACTTCCAAGCCTTCAGAAATATGTGTTCATTTCGAGACTATAACAAAGCAGTCGAGAATTTGAAACGTTTAGTCATTTATGTCGACTCTGCCCCAGAATGTTATGTTATGAAAGAATGGGATGTTGTCTTTAACAAACCAAGAGCAACAATAGTTTCAGAACAAGAATGTAGACAGAAACTTAAGAAAATAAAAGTCGTACAAGTTGGCATGAAGATGTTAAGATGCTTGGGATATCTTATTGTCAAAGTTAGAAGATTTTTCAGTTCGAGGTATAAGTTCTATACACCTTCTCCAAACTTCTATTCTATCTTCACTGGATATAAATACGAACAAGTAAATGGAAAGAAAATATTATAGAAGCTTGGTTAGACCATGTCAAAGAAATTATATGCAATGAAACGAAAGAGTCTATGAGTATATCTTATGTTGGTTTGCAAACATCTTACAACATCCAAGTGCTAAAAAATGAAACTGCTCTCATTATAATTGGAAAACAAGGAACAGGTAAGAACACATTTCTTTACAGATATCTTATGCAAACTGTTAGAGGGCTATTCGACCCGAATATGACAAACTTAGAAATATCTGTGGCAAGTTTAACTCTTCAATAGAGAATATGAAACTTATAGTATGTAACGAACTTCAAAGTATAGATACAACAAAAGTTTTAAACTCAGATGCTTTGAAGAGTCTTATAACAGACAAAGTTGGATTGTTGAAAGAAAATATAAGACCAAAGAGTTTGTGAAAATGTTGTAAATTTCATTATGGTTTCAAACAATGCTGTTCCGATGAAGTTAGAAAGTTCTGACAGAAGATATGTAGTTGTCAGAACGTCAGATTCTCATATGCAAGATACAGAATATTTTGACGACTTAGCAGAAACTTTGACATCTGACTTTTACAACCACTTGTTCTCATATTTCATGACATTAGATATTCTAAGTTCAATCCAAGACAAATTCCACATACCGAGAGAGACAAACATTGTTAGAAGCAAACAAGAGTGTATATGAACTGTTCATAGATGAAACTGACTTTGTGTCATTAGATGAAAGGTCATTGTACGATTCGTATAACAATATTGTCAAGAATATGGTTATATGGCAGCCTCTAAACGTACATTCTTGGCAAATGTCAAAAGTCTTTTAGACGTACAGAATGGTGTATATACAAAGAAAATTTTTTTCTGAGTAAATTTAAAAAAAATATTTTTTATTTTATTTGAAATGTACGCTGAGTTTGTTGGAAAAGACCGTTGGGAAACTTGTTTGTTAGATGAGAAATATGAAATTCACTGTTGTGAGTCATTTGAAGTCAGAAACAAAAAGACAAAAAGAGTTTTAAGCGGATGGGAGGGAAATAACGGATATGCTAGGATGAGGATTGGTGGAAAACACTATTTTAAACATGTTGTCATTGCAACTCATTTTATACCGAACCCTAACAATCTACCTTTTGTAGACCATATAAACCATATAAGAAACGACAATAGACTTGAAAATTTACGTTGGGTTACTCGTTCTGAAAACAATAAGAACAAAAGCAAATTTAGAGATATTGTATTCGAATTTGTCGACGAACTAGAAAGATGAAACAATTGAAATTACAGACATATGGCAAGCATACGTTGGAGTTTTACTACTATAGCGAAGAACAAGACTCTTTCTACTTTTATACCGGCGTAAACTATAGGAAATTACAATATATTTTACTAAGGAAGGCTATGCTTATGTAAACACTAGAGATACAGATGGAAAATGCGTTCAAATACTTCTTAACAAATTCAAGAAGCTATATGGCATACCATTTTAAAACGTTTTTAAAAAAAAATATTTTTTTATCCGATAGAAAAGATGGCAAAATTCATCTCAGTAAATAAGTACATGACAGAAGTCAAAGATAAGTTAGCTCCATTCGCATATTTGAATGTTTACTTCTACCATTTTGAAAAGTCTTCATTTGACAAAGTTTGGAACATCGAACCAGTTAAGTTTGCTATTGTGACTAAAAATGGTGCGAAATTTGAAGACTTAGACATAGAAGGTTTGTTAGCAGTCAAAGAAAGTTTTGACAGAAGGTTCTCAAAACTCGAAAAGGTAAAGCTACAAACTTGTTATACCTTATGAACCAAAGAAAGCAGACGACTATGAATATTATGAGTCTAAGATAGTTGAAGTTCAAGGTAAATTGGGGTAAAAAGATTTTAGAGTCTAAGCCAGTGTTTGCTCCTAAAGAGGAAGAGAACATTGACATTGACCCAGAAATGTTCTAAAAATAAAATTTTATTTTTACATGTCATATCTCCCCTTCTCTGGAACTGGTTCAGGTTCTTTCTTCTCTTCTACTTTTTTCTCTTTCTTTCCTTTCTTCTTCTTTTCTGGTGGAGTTATGTCAAATTTCTCAGAACCATATATTTTTGTAAAAGTTCTTTGTCCTTTAATAGCTCTTCTATTCTGTTTTCTATTTCATCTTCAAGAACAGCGCATGTGTCTCTTTGCATTTCTAAGAATTTTGTTGGACTTCATCTCTCAAGAGGCGTCATCTCTGTCAACAAGTCTGTCATTGACAAACTTAAAGACTGCTCTGCCTAATGTTTTATGGTTCTTGTCATATTCCAGAAACAGAACTTTAGAACAAATTCACCTTTCTTGTTTACACTATGTAAGATTTTATGGTCGACAGATGTTTTGCTGTCGAAAAGCTTGTCTCGAATATAGATAGCGAAATCGCTAGACATTTTCTAAAAGATAAAAATTTTAATTTTTCTAAAAATATGTTAGAAAAAAAGTTTGCTGACATTGACAAGAAATTTGAGAATGTTTTAAACAAGAACAAGAGGAAGTTAGAAAATGCTCAGATAAAACCCATACATGACAAGTTCTTAT